CTAAATCAAAGAATTACAATGGTTAAATCATGTGCATGTCTGAAGTGTGCTTACTAAAAATACCCTTATAAAGATCTCTTCATGGTATCTAGCACTGTATTCATTACTTCCCCGTTCCTGATTTCGCGCAACTGCGTTGCGCAGCTACTTATTTATTACATATAGAAGGATGTCATTGTATACCTAATGTTATATTGGATAAAAATGAATTAGGTAAACCAGAAATGGTTGGATATGATCATTTATCGAGTCATAAAGATACAATGAAAAAGAAATTTTCAACGTGTACAAAATTATTTAATGAAATATTTTTAGAATTTTAAACAACTAAATTTTAATAATAAAAATTATTTAAAAAAAATTCTAAAGGGAATGTGGAATTAATTTAAAAAACTTTAATAAAATTGGTTATATTTAGAGTTCTAAAAAAAATTAAAAAAAAATTGATATTTCTACTGACACACCATATTGATATTATTCAAACAAAAAGTATGATATGATCAGTGTGCAAATTCATTATCAACAAATAAAAATGAAAAAGCAGGTCGAAACTTGACTGTCTCACGTTAAAAATACATTTACAAACAACGTAAAAGTCGAAGTGTAATCTAAAAATTTTATGTTCGTAGAGGACAGAAAAACATCAAGTCTTGCACACCACTATGATGGATATATTAAAATTTTGATTATATTACGTACAGTTTACATGTAACACTGCCCAAAATTACGATAGCGGAAGATGTTAAAAAATTTTATAAAAAAATATATATACAATATTTAAATATTTTTAATTAATAGAAAAATAAAATAAAACCGAATGTTAATTTAAAAACCGGTTTGTCGGAGGGTTACAACCGAATTAGAACATTACAAAACGATTTACTATTTAAACCGGTTTAACCCGAAGTTGAAGTTGAATTTCATAATTCGGTTCCGACCTCTATTTCTTGAAATTATTTCTTCGATGCTTATTCCTTTAGTCTAAAAAAAAAGTTTAATTTAATAATTTATAATAGTTGTTATAAAAAATAAAATACAAACCTCTGGAACAAAAATCAAGGTAAAGATTATGGAACAAAGGCTAATTATACCAAACACGAGAAAAGTATATTCTCGCAAAGCTGCTTCCATAACAGGAAATACGAAGGCTAAAAGAAAATTCGACGTCCAATTTACACCTAAACATATCGAACTGACTACACTTACGTAACGTGTTGGTATAACCTCTGATGGTCATGTAAATTAATATGGTGCGAATTAACTTTAAGGGAGATTTACTACGAAAATTGTTTTAAATATCATACCTGTTATGATAAAGAAAGGTAAACTTCCAAGAGCGACACTGAAGGTAATAACAAAGAGTAAAACTTTGAAAAAACAAAAAAATTTATCAGAAAAGCGATACTTCCATTGTGAGAAATATCTGAAATTCAAAACACCTATGATCTCAATCACTCGGAAGCCCGAGCCACAATCCATACAATTCTCTAACTTATTGACATTGATCTTGCCAGTATTAAGACAAATGTTGAAAGAATTATATTAAATTGTAGAGAGTATATTGAATTTTCTGGATTGTGAATCGCACTTCTGAATAGTCAGGCAAATAACAATAAGAAACTATAATGAATTTCTTACATGCGAATACAAGAAGAATATTATATTTGTATATAGAACCAATAACGATTAGAAAAGATGAGACGGCAACACCACTCTCGGATAATAATAATAATGGTCTTCTTCCTGCTAGATCCATTAGAAAGGTTGATATTATCGTAGCTAGCAGGATTGCACCACCTACGATTATCGTTATGTATTTGGCCAAATCTTCAAAAACATTTGAAAAAATGTTTGTACTATTATGTTATTTAATAAATTTAGAAATGTAATGTGTAATAACTTATCAATTATGATTATAATGACGTACAGTACGTACGTACCTATAAAAGACGATTACTGAGATGCCACAAAATTGTTGAGCAAGATGAATTCCAATACAAACAAGTAACATCTCGCGACAATATGAATCTTGTAAAAGTTCTTTAAATGTATATTTTTTCTTTATTTCAAGTTGTTCATTAATCACAACAAGAGAAGTTTGTATAGATTTTTCATTTTGATCGATATCAATCTGTTTTTCGGACTGCCCCTGAATAATTTCATCAATCTGTTTTTCGGACTGCTCCGGAATAATTTCTTCAATCTGTTTTTCGGACTGCCCCTGGATAATTTCTTCAAATTCTGAATTAATATTATATCCTTTCCTTAATTTTTGTAATGCTTTTTTCGCTTCTTCAATTTGATTTTGGGAAATCAAATATCTAGGAGATTCCACTCCTAAAATAGGAATTAACATCAATTGAAAAATCGCAATTACTGATGTTAGACTTAGGAGAATACGCCAGCCGGGAATAAACGATAATGGCAAACCAATAAGTTGTGAAACAACTATTCCAGCCACGACAGAAGTTTGGTAGACAGATCCGATTAAACCACGTAATTTAATGGTCGATATTTCTCCTAAATATGTCTTTAATTTTAAAAAAAAAAGTATTATTGTTAAAATGTTAATTAAAGACGAAAATCTCTTGGTATGTACCGGTATAACGACAGATCCGATTCCGGTTCCGATCCCAGTAAGAATGCGTCCGCATATAAACATCACTGGATTTATGGACGCTCCGAGAAGTACTCCACCAATGATCCATGTTATGGAATTATATATTAATACGTTCTTTCTACCAAATATCGTTTGTAAGTGACCCGCTCCAAGTCCTCCAAAAATAGCTCCAAACGAATGACTTCCTACCGCAAAACCCCTATTTTATATCTATATTAGACTATTATTATTTACTATATAATTTTAAGGAACTGATATTTCTACACTTTTCACGAATAAGTTCCATGCATAGTCCTTAAATTAGATGAAAACAAAACCTGCAATTACAGGATCTTACCGCTTTAAGGATCCAAATTATGTCTAACAATTTACATATGCGATAATTTTGATGCCTACATTTGGATTTTTATTATATCTTGTTAATTGGTAATTGTCGCATCTATTTATTATATTATTTATTACTTTGCGTAATAAATTATATAATAAAAGGATGTGACAAATTACCAATATGCAAGACATGTACGTGCGTACGTGCGTACCATAATCTCAATTCGAATGAACACACAATTTAAGATCATTTAGGAGTATTTATGCATTATAGATTTTACTTTTTAGAGGAAATAAATCATCATTGCAAAATATTACAGTAACATAATCCTGTTCGTGAATATGTGAAAATGCCAGTTCCTTATTTTTAATTGTGATTATTTTTTTATTAGGTTTACCAAAGCAAGTCTCCCATTGGGAGACAGTCTGGTACTCCTGCTCCTTTCACGTAATCATGTCCATTTGAACAATTTCGAATTGTTTGTTCTTTCATTTATAGATAAAAACAAAGAATAGAATCTTGAAAAATGATATTTACAAGTTACCAAAGTTCATTATTTATTGCATGCATCAAGTACCTGGTATATTAGTAATGCCCGTGTTAAGTCCATTCTCAAAACCACCGATTACAACTACAAGGGTAAGAAGAATGCAATAAAATGGTAATTTTGCGGTTTTTGAATCTCGAATTGAGATGTTTTGTTCTATATCTGAAGAGGTCATTCCTTTATTTTTTGTAAATTAAAAAATTTTTTAATCTGAGAAAAAATTTTTTGTTTGTTTGATTTTTTTTCTGTTTATTTATTCAGATCTTATCATTATACTGTAAATCATAACTAAAGTGTATCGGTATGTTTTCAATGGTACGTATTATTTGTTATTCGACCAAAGAATGATTTATTATTTTCTGTCACACATAAAAAAGGCTGGACTTTTATTTCTTCTCACTTATAATTCTATAAACTTTAAAGGTTAATTCATAGGTCAGGCTAATTATTTTTCGGTGGGACGTAACTGTGATTCACGAATAGAAGACTTTTGATTAATTCAGTAAAAAGTACTATCGCTATCTGCTATACAATGCATATATATAGATTGATTATTATGCGTTATTTGGCAATGCAATCTTGATTGTACTACAGTTTAATTGTACTATATTAACCTTAAAAAATTATGTAACAATATTATACGTATTAATCCGAAATTATTTATATATAGTACATAATTAGAAAAAGAAGCTATTTGCGAAGTTTTCAACTTTAAATTATGCTAAAGTTCTACGTAGAATTATTAAAGTTGATTATGCCGATTTGGGGTATTACCCGTTAAAGTAGTTATAGATATAAATAGCTAAGTAGTTGATATATATGTGACTTATTAAATCACGTTTCTATAATTTTTATCGCATTAAATGATTAGAAAAATTGCATATACATATTGTCAGTAGTTACAACGATAAAATATATTAGTGAATTGCGTGATAAGTTAATAACAGTTAGGTATCAAATTTGTTAAAGAGGTATACGCCAACGAATTAAATGTCTTTGAAGAAATTATCAAATAGTTATATGCAATTAAATTTAATAGACTATATAATATTAAAAAATTGTTAAAGAAGGATTTTGTTTGTATTCTGTAATCTGGTTGGATAAAGATGTATACGTATAAATTGTACTCAAAACTTTATCTAGTTTTATAGAAGTTAATTACAACAACTTGCTTTAATATTTGTGAAATTACTATCTTTGGCATAGCACGCATAATGGTTATGTCTCATTTAACCGACAGCCATTTCACAGAAAATAAAAAATTGGCCAGCACTAACCTAATTCTAACCCT